AAATCATTTACTGTCAATGTTTTCAAAAACTACTTTACTGCATGTCTGATTATGTGATCTCTCTGTAATTTAGCTACTGCATGCCTTCACTAATGTGCTCTAACCTTTGGTAGAAATGAGTAGATGTAATATAATTGTATGGAGCCTTATAAATGCATTATTTCAGTTTCTTTCAAAATAGTTTCTTTATTCTCAATCATCTTGTAGATCATTGTTCAAAATTGAGAAGTAGCACAGAACTGATTACATTTGGTGCAGATATTTTGGATATGTAGTTTTGACATGTTTTGACATGTGGAGGTTTTTGGGTTTTGTTTTGTGTTTTTAACATGTATGTTTAGGATAGAAAAATAATGTCATGCTGTGCTAGTTCAGTTGGTAATTTTGTTTTCCTGATCAGTTCTCGAGCAAGCTGCTGGTCTAGTGGGAGGTTGAGAATTTGGCTTTGCTTTCTGGCACAGGTATCTGGATCATAAATGGCTGTGTGCAAAACTGTCCCCTTGTTAAAGATGAACTCCAGAGTGACATAAATATAATATTATAATCTGGGATATACACTATATTGCCAAAAGTTTTGGGACACCCCTCCAAATCATTGGATTCAGGTGTACCAATCACCTCCATGGCCACAGGTGTATAAAATCAAGCACCAAGGCATGCAAACTGCTTCTAAAAACATTTGTGAAAGAATGGGTCTCTCTCAGGAGAGCGTGGTTCAATGGTACCGTGATAGGTTGCCACCTGTGCAATAAGTCCAATCTGTGAAATTTCCTTGTTCCTAAATAATCCACGGTCTACTGTTAGCAGTACTATAACAAAGTGGAAGCAACTGGGAACAACAGCAACTCAGCCACAATGCGGAAGGCCACGTAAAATGGCAGAGCGGGGGTCAGCGCATGCTGAAGTGCGCAAAAGTCGCCAACTGTCTGCAGAGTCAATAGCTAAAGACCTCCAAACTTCATGTGGCCTTAAGATTAGAACAACACAGTGAGTGGAGATCTTCATGGAATGGGTTTCCATAGCCGAGCAGCTGCATCCAAGCCTCACATCACCAAGTGCAATGCAAAGCGTCGTGTGGTGTAAAGCATGCCACCACTGGACTCTAGAGCAGTGATGTGTTCTCTGGAGTGACCAATCATGCTTCTCTGTCTGCCAATTTGATGAACATGTCTGAGTTTGGAGGTTGCCAGAAGAACGGTACTGGCCTGACTGCATTATACCAAGTGTAAAGTTTGATGGAGGGGGGATTATAGTGCGGGGTTGGTTTTCAGGGGTTGGGCTTGGCCCCTTAGTTCCATGAAGGGAACTATTAAGGCATCAGCATACCAAGACATTTTGGACAATTTCATGCTCCCAACTTTGTGGGAACAGTTTGGGGATGGGCCCTTCCTGTTCCAACATGACTGCTCACCAGTGCACAAAGCAAGGTCCATAAAGACATGGATGAGAGAGTTTAGGTGGAGGAACTTGACTGGCCTGCAGAGTCCTGACCTCAACCCCATAGAACACCTTTGTGATGAATTAGAGCAGAGACTGCAACACAGACCTTCTCGTCAGACATCAGTGCCTGACCTCATAAATGTGCTTCTGGAAGAATAGTTAAACATTCCCATAGACGCACTCCTAAACCTTGTGGACAGCCTTCCCAGAAGAGTTGAAGCTGTTTATAGCTGCAAAGGGTGGGCCAACTCAATATTGAACCCTACAGACCAAGACCGGGATGCCATTAAAGTTCATGTGTGTGTAAAGGCTATTCTTGCCTTACTGCATTATAGTAATACAATGAGACTGGTTTGCTAAAGAAATTGGGAATGTTGACACAATAAAATTGTGTGTTGATTCACTTCAGTTAGCCAATCGTGTGAGAACAAAATTCCTGTTTCATCTGCATGACTGTGAAAGCAGTTTCTACTGAATTTATTTTATTTATTTCAGGTACTTGTATAGCACCGTCAATTTACTCAGCGCTCTAAATATATATTGTACATTCACATCAGTCCCTAACCCTCAAGGGGCGAACAATCTAAGGTCCCCAACTCACATTCATATACAAGGGCCAAATTTTAGACAGGATCCAATTCACCTACCAGCATGTCTTTGGAGTGTGGGAGGAAACCAGAACACCCGGAGGAAACCCACGCAGGCACAGGGAGAACATGCAAACTCCAGGCAGGAGGTGCCGTGGCTGGGATTCAAACCAATGACCCTAGTACTGCCAGGCGGAAGTGCTAACCATTTAGCCACTGTGAATTGAAATTTATTACTTACGGTTATTTTACATCTGTGAGCTTAGGATTGCTTTAAAGCACACAATACTGCATATGCGTAAGTGAATAATGGGAGCAAGATGAGGGGAAGGTTACAGGCACACAACGGCAATCAGTGAGGAGAACAGAGGCACAGAGAGTGACTTAAAGTGGTTGTAACCGCAGATCTAAAAAAAATTTACGTTTTGCCATAAATGAGTACATTTTACTGTAAACATACATAAAGCTGTGATTTTTACCTCAGAAAAATGCTCCCTTAGCTTGTCTCAGCCCTCCAAAAACTGCTGGTCTGTGGGCGTGGCTTATTACCAGAGAATAGTAGGCGGAGACGTGATGTCACTCAATCCCTCAGTTATACACACCCTCCAGCCTGGGCTCAAGAACTTGCATTCAGTGGAATACACAGGTGCCAGTGACTGTCAGCTGTGCTAATCAGGAGAAGGCTAGTAGGAATGGGCTAATGTTAAAATTCTTAGGAATCTTGCAGCTTAAAGTGGCAGTGTGGACCAGAAAACATTCTCATGTTAAACTCTGTAAACAGCAATTCATAAGCTAGGTGCTGTGAATAGAGCAGGACAATAATCGGCTGTCAGCAGACTTATCTAGATAACTACAGCATTACTGAAGTGTTGCCGATCTATGTCGGAGTTCTCGATCTTGTGACGGCAGAGACCAGCAGGGAGAGGAAACCCACTCCCCAACCCCTTTGCTGTGTATTACGTGGAGTCTCCTGCTGGTCTCTTATTCAGCACAGTCTGTCACTTACTGGAGAAGGGGAGTGGTGACACCATTTTTCTGCTTGTGTCGGATTTATTCTGTTCAGAAGAGCAGGGGGGATTTTTGGAGAAGGGGGATTGCTTCAAGATACTAAACTAAGCTCAAATGCTTAGTAAAGGTAAAATCTATTCAACTGTAGGATTAGATTGATTTTTTTATTTTTTTTAGGTTTACAACCACTTTAACCGCTTCCATACAGGACACTTTTACCTCCTTCCTGCCCAGGCCATTTTTCAGGTTTCAGCGCTCTCACACTTTGAATGACAATTGCGCGGTTATCCAACACTGTACCCAAACTAAAATTTTATCATTTTCTTCACGCAACTAGAGCTTTCTTTTGGTGGTATTTAATAAACACTGGGCTTTTTATTTTTGCTAAATTAACAAAAAAAGACAATTTTGAGAAAAAAAAAAAACGTTTTCTTTGTTTCTGTTATAAAAGTTTGCAAATAATTGTTTAATTTAGGCCGAGATGTATTCTGCTACATTTCTTTGGTGAAAATAACCCAAATTAGGATGTATTATTTAGTTTGTAGGAAAGTTATAGAGTTCACAAACTATGGTGTATATATCTGAAAATTGATCAATCCTGAAGTACTGACAGCCAATCTAATTTCTTGAGGTCCAAGAATGTCAGAACAGTACAGATATATCCTCCAAATTACCACTTTTTGCAAAGTATATAGTCCAACGTATTTCATAAAAGGCATGGCGAGTTTTTTGAAGTTGTAATTTTTTTTGTAATTTTTCAGAAAATGAAAAGAATGAAAAAATTATTTTCACTTTTTTTTTAATTTACATGCTGTCACCAGTGCAGTACAGCGTCGTCATATAACTGGCATGGCGGTGATCAGGGACACTGGTGACAGTACGAAAAAAAATTGATAATTTTTTTTATTTTTTATTATTTTTTTTTTAAGATTGTTTTTTCATATTTCACTATGACCAAAGTAGTATAATGTTACCAAAGTAAACTACTTTGGGAAGTGATCAGTATTTTTTTTTACACAATTTGCTTATAGCAAAGAATTACTTTGCTATAAGCAAGCATTTTTACCTGAATGAAATCGATTCGTTCAGGTTTTTTTTTTTTTTTTTTTTTTTTTTGTGCTTAGCTGTGATTTGGCCATGGCTAATCACATGACACAGCTGGACTGTGATTGGTCCAGCTTATGCATGTGATCGCTGTGACCATTCACAGCTAGACACACTTGTATACAATGGATGGCATGAAAGGAAGCCATCCATTGTATACAACTGTCATGTGACCTTCTATGATTGGTCACAGCAGGTCACATGGTACTGGAAACGGGGCCAGTACACAGATCTGTCATCAGCCATGTCCGAGGTACACGGTCGGTGACAGATCGTGCTGAAGAGCGGCCCTGCGGGCAGGCGCACTGCACATGCCTGAAAGGATGCCATATGGCGTCCACCCGGAGGGACGAGCTGTTTGCCCAGCCGCCGTCTGGATATAGGCCGGGCAGCAATTGGTTAATTGCTTTCACTTTGTTCATCCTGCCTCTTTTTTTTGGGCTAGTTTACACTTGTGTTAGCACTCTGAAGAGCGAGCCATTATGGTTGTTTGAGAAGGTGTTATGTTGCCTTCTCACCGTCTATTTTAACCCCTAAAAACCTGCACCACAACATAGGCACAGCACGTGTACACTCATGTCTGCTGATTTTGCAGCTTAAGTGGGGCAGTAAAAACTGCAATATAAACTTTGTATACAGGAAAGTTCCTGTTTCTTGTCTGGTTCCTCTAAACCCCAGATTCTAAAATGGACAGCGCAAAACTGTTGAGGAAATTGCCCCAAAAGATCTTCAGTGCTTAGGGAATCTTGTATTTGTGTGCAAGAAGGGTATTGGACTGTTGAGTGTTCTACAGTGAACATGTCTGTGCTGGAACCTCTAACACCTAATCCTCTTTGTTAATTTAGTAATGAAGTTGACAGAATGCTGGAGCGACATGAGCGTCTGAAGCCTGAGATGTTTGCAGAACTACTGCAGGCTGCAAATACTGCAGATGACTTTAGAAAATGCCCTGTAAGTAACTTAAAGGTTAATATTCCACTATTGTGTATTTGAGTTATGAGCCATATATTTTATTCAATAACGCCTTCACTAACCATGTAAACTGTTTTAATGCCATTTTACTGCGGATTTTCCTTTACATAGAAGTGCTTAGTGCTGTTGCGCTGCATTTACACGTTTTAAAAATAGCATTATTTTGAAGTGCAGATTACTAGCAATCATTGCTTCAAACACCTCCAACTAAATGCTACATGCGCATAAAGCATATTCTGTGCTTCAGATTTCTTTTGTGGTCCACTGGAAAATGAAAGTAATTATATAAAGCATTAGCTACAAGACATTTAGAAATCTATATATTTGAAACTAAAGATTTTACTGAAATATTCAACTTTTAACTACATTTTAATTTTTTTAATTTTTTTTTTTTTTATAGAGCAATTGTGGTCAAAAGATCAAAATCCGCAGAGTGCTAATGAACTGTCCAGAAATAGTAACTATTGGTCTGGTTTGGGATTCTGAAAACTCTGATTTGACAGAAGATGTTGTACGGAATTTGGCCACACAGCTTTACTTGCCGGGGGTAATTTTTTTTTTTTTTTTTTTTTCTTTCCCTTCTCTTGTCTTTCCTTTACAGAACACAAGTAAGTCTACATAGTTTTCAAGGCAGGGGAAATCAACCTTGTTTTTTTAATCAATGCTCTTTTTGTATTTTATGTTAACCATTTGACCTCCGGAAGGTTTTACCCCCTTCATGACTAGGGCATTTTTTTCGCTACTAAACACTGTGCTACACTGGCAATTGCTTGGTCATGCAACACTGTACCCAAACAAAATTTATATGCTTTTTTTTTTTTTTTGTTACAAAATATATCCAAGATAAAAAAAAATCACATTCCTTCATAAATGTAGGCCAAAATGTATTCTGTTACATGTCTGGTTAAAAAAAATAAAAATCTCAAATGTTTATAAATTGGTTTGTGTGAAAGCTACAGCGTCTACAAACTATGGTGTGTGTGTATATATTTATATGCTGGAATTTACTCAGCTATAGACGCTATACTTATAATGGCTGTAATTGGTACTTTATAGTGTGACTGTGATAGTGTGGCAGGCAATCTGATGCTAACAGACACTGGCTGGGAGGGACACCAAGAGAGACACTAACTGACATTGATGTCGCTAGTCACACTAATAGTGATCAGTGATGACACTGGGTGGGAGGTGTTTAAAATAATGAGAGCGTTAACTGTATGCTTACAAGTGTAATATGTGCTGCTTTTGCTCACAGATCTAGTTTATTTTCCTCCCTTCTTTTCAGGTAGAAAAACAGCCAGAACGCTGCTCTGGTTACAGAGTTCTGTGTGTTTGTAAAACATAGAACTTTGCTATGATTGTATATAGCCAGTCATCCGCTTTCTGCCAAAATCTTTGGCTGAAACATGCTGCCAAACTCTTGCTCTGTCTACAGCAGGGGGCACTTGCACTAAAACCCAGAAGAGGGCAGCGATGTAAAAGTACGTTGCCAAGCCTGCGGCTGCCGCCCGCTAGCAGTGAATATGCTGTGAGCGTGCACCAATCGGATAAGCATTGCACAGACATTCACATTAGCCATTTGTTTACATGCAAGCACATAGTAATTGGTGAGGGTATATGTAAAGTGCAATTTTTCCTACAGGAGGTACTGGTAATCAGAAGTGTCAATAGCGAGCAAAAAAGCAGCCCGGTGGCACACTAATTTAAGACGCAGGAAATCTCAGTTTAGCTACAGTTTTGCTTCTTCTTCAAAGAACCAAAACACTGGAGTAATGCTAAAGTACTAAACAATAGAATTGAATGTTAGTATTGAAATAGTAATTTCACCATACAGTGAAATTGGTCATGTTCAGCATCTGTACTTCCCAGTCCTGTAAAAGTAATTATACGGTTATAGAGTTAGCAAGGTGCGTGGAAGCGAATTGGCGGCTGCACAGCCACTGGATCACTTCCATCTCACGGCCGACAATCTGCTTGTCAGATTTACACACACTCTAGGTGGCTGCAATGTGTTGCCCATTTAATAAAAGCAAGCAATGTAAATCCATGTCTTTAAAGTTGAATTGATGCTGTCTCTTTGGGATGAGCAGGATGGGTAGCTGGAGATTAGCCTCAAAATCAGGTACATCAAGCCTTTTCGAGTATCAAAACAAGATGGCAAGTTGTTATAATGTTTTGGTTTTTTTTTGTTAGTTATTTTTTAGAGTGACAGATGAACAAGCGAAAGAAAGTAGACTTTACCTTGTGGGCATGATCTGCTACACAAGCCGACACTATTGTGCCTTCGCCTATCACACAAAAAGTGCCAGATGGGTTTTATTTGATGATGCTTCAGTAAAAGAGGTAAGTTTGCCTTTTGTTAAAATGCAGGGAAATGCAGCTAAAATGTATGTTTGAATGTTAGTATTGAAATAGTAATTTTGTCATTTTATATTTGTATTATAGCTGGTTATATGCAGTACCTTCACTAGCTAGTTGTAGTGAAGTTGTGGCAAATATCTAGGCCACATCTTTTCTGAAAGCAGAAACCATGGAGAATAAAATGGTGGTAGTGCAATATTTTTGTTGCATATTACCACATTGGTTAGCAAACATATTTTCAGCAAAAAACTCATGTTAATTGTCGTGCACACAAACACAATACATTAACCAACATTTTGGTAAAATATAAAAAGATTGTGTCAAGAAAATACACCTCTCAAAGGTCAAGCCTTAAAACTACACTCGTCATGAAACTGTGACAAACTTCAGTACCCCAAATTGTACACAGATTACACTTTAAAAGCCCGTACAGGTCATAAGTGTCGAGCTAACTGTGAATGAGGGCTTTAAAATGATTGATCTCACTCCAGCATTCGTGGCTATATCTAATATGTGTATAGAGAGTATGTATGTAAATGCACGGGTTTCCGTTCAAGTGTGCATGTACAAGGGGCCAGGGGCTTTAAAAATTGAGTTACACAATCATTAAAAACATTTTTTAAACATTTTAATAACTTTTTCTTTTGCATAGGGGACTGACAAGCATATTACTGATGACAGGTTCTCTTTAGGGAGACATCAGGGGTCTGTTAGACTCATCATGTCACCTTGGTACTCCACAGCATCTAATCAAGCACAGATCATAGATCAGCACTTTCCATGTCTGTAAAGACCTCTGCTGATGTATGCCTTGTGTTGGTGGCAGAATAAGGGTTAAAGGATTTTGACTCATCTTTATCTCCGTCCCCGCTTATTTCTCTAGAGCATGTCCCAGCATCCATTGGTTTTAAGTCTTGCAGGTGAATCTGCCTGGGAACTCGGTTTCTAGCTTTCTATTGCCCCCAGAACTGCTGTATATCTCGCAAGAAACTTTACCTACCTAGTAAAGGGTGTTAATAAACATTAAGGAAAAAAAGATAAAAGCTACTCGGTTGCTAAGGGCAAAGGCACCAGTTAAGTGCACTTATTATTATTATTATTTTTTTTTTTTTTTTTTTTTAATTAATCTTACTCCCGGTGTCCTGGGCAAAAACTTGGGCGTCAAGGAAGCAGCATTGTTCTGCTGGGCAATAAATGGGCGTATGCATGAAGAGCAGGGATAGGTGGAGTACTATAGTGAAGCAATGGCTGCCTTTGCAGCTTGGAGAAAGGGGGCAGTTAAAACATGGCTCATGTGCTTGTTTTTACCACCCCACAACTGTAAGTGCAAACGAAGACCAATGGGAAGTGTGGAACACACAATCTCTCTGGCAGATCAGCAGGTGTTTTTCTGTACTGGTGTTTTAATCTGGATATAAAATGGGTAAATATACATGTATTGTAGAGATGTACTTCATATTTTTATTTTTTGCTTGCTTCCATAATGTAGACTTCATTCACATGGGCCTACTGATCCGTACATCTCTCTGCGAAGGGCCATATTCACCCGCATAGGATGCACAGATTTTCCATGTAGCCATGTGGAGGCAGTCTGTTCAAAACAATGACAGGCTGTCGTCTGCACGAATCTGCATGCACATCCCAGAGCATACACCCGTGTGAGTCCAATGCACGGATCAGAATGCAAAAAGGCTGTGACAGTGACTGAATGTAACCCACAGGAACCAAGTTAATTAAGTGATTAATACACATATAACAGTTGGAACCTTCTCTAGACACTTGTAAGGATTACACTTGTAATAACTGCTGCCCTCTAATTACAAGACAATTTACAGGTCATTGTGAGAGCAATGCTTTACTGAAAATGGTGAATTGTGGATTGACTTAAGTTGAGTTCTTATCTCCTTTTTATATATGGGCATGTGGAAGGTTTCTTAAAATTTTCTATTATGGCTGTAATTCATGTCCCCTCCTTTTTTCAGGTTGGTACCAAATGGAAAGATGTAGTCACTAAGTGCATTCGGTGTCATTACCAGCCTTTGCTTCTATTTTATGCCAATCCTGATGGCACAGCAGTGACCACAGATGATGCCCTGCGGCAGGTCCTTCATTGGTCTCAATACAAGAGAGTCTTCACCAATGATGGTACAGGTACTTTGACTTCATATTCTTTAGCAGTTAAGTTGTACTCTGCAGGTCCTAGTGTCTTCCCTGCTAGACATTCACCTGTGGATTTAACTGCCAGGACTGGATTTGAGAAAGTTGGTCAGGGTTCTGTTCTGCACCAGTTGCTGTACAGAGAGGTTCAGGCTTCAGTGTTTAAAATGTAATTAAAATAAGTTCTAAATAGCTTCCTGCAATAATTATTTAAGTATTTATTTTTTTGGTAAATAACTTCACTTGCTTTTTACTAGTTACATAATTTTAGAATCATGGAAGGAGAATTCTCAGAATAAAATGAATGTTACTAAACCAATAACCGTAAAATCAGTCTGAGCATGCTTGTTATACTCACTGTGGAACCTAAGGGGTTAATCCTCTGCATTGTGTAAAAAGGATATTTGATCCTGTCTTCTCTGATCCTTCCCTTCTTCTATTGTCCCCAATATATGTCCTGATAGAACAGAGCCTTGGGGACAAGCTGCACATGCTGAGTTTAGTGTGTATTGCTAGAGAGTTTTTTTTTTTTTTTTTTTTTTTTTTCCCTTGGGATAGTGCATGTGATCAGCACAGGGCCAGTCAGCACTGTCCAGGCAGAAGGTCAGGGGTCCTGCAGCCTCATAGTGAAATGAAAACTCCTACAAGCTTTAACTAGTGCTCTGCTGGACACTGAGAGAAGTCACAAGACTGCTCTAACTGCTGCTGAGATAAGGTATTTAGCAGCTTATATTTACTAAAATAATTGCATTTCCATGTTCTCTGTACTGGGGGAGACCAGATATAGTGAATGCAGGGTCCTGGGTTTAGTACCACCTTAACGCCACCTCTCCTGGCAGCCCTTTTAAGTAGGGCTTTACTGCCCTGCAGTCTGTATCATGAGTCTGCTGTGATTGGCACATGAAAGTTGCATGATCCATAGCCCATCCCACTGGCTCCCAATGAGAAACCTTGACCAAGAGCTGTCAGTAACAGCTTGGTTGGTAAATGCACACATCCTCATTCCACCGTGGAAGCATATGTGCGGTGGCTAGATGTTAAATCCCAAGTTTCTTGCTACATATATGCTTTGAAATTATCACTGATAATACTAATAAATAAGCATGCTTGATTTACTGTGTGTCTTAAAATATAGAGAACATGGGGAGAAAATACAATGAAAAGAAATCTGTATATTCTGGATATGATTGTACACTTTTCATACCATTAATTGAGTTTTGAGTTACTTGTGAATATGTATACTGACAAAAAGTTCAGCTGAGGTCTTAAGCTAGGGACACACATACCAAAATTTGGCTGGTTCAGCAGTAATCACCTGAATTTCGGCATGTGTGTACCACTGTCTGTTCAACAGAATCCAGGGGTCCACTCTGTCAGAATAAGCAATGTTGATGCAGGGATCTGTTTTTTGTTTCCCCCCCAACTTGCTGAAAAGTCAGATGAATATACTTCTCACAAATGCTAATTATACATAGAATGATCTATAAATCGGATGCTTTTCAGACCGCTGTCTTTCTCAAAGAATTCTATGGTGAACTTTTATCTTCTGAGCATTTTCCCCGCTTAATTTCTTCTGTTATGAGTATAAACTCATACACTGTAAGGCGTGATTGATTTTGGCCAGCTTCCATTTTACATGCAGAATTTTAGTTCCCTTGGGCTGCCCTAGATCAGAAATCTAGAAATTGTTTCATGGACTGCATGCCAATATCGATTGTCCAATCAAGTCTGGTGACCTTTTGTGTAGGCAGTAAAAGGATTGCTATCTTTTTTTGTAACAGTCAGGCACCCAAAGGTGTCTGCACATACTTTCAGTGGCCTTCACAGCTCTGTAGTTATAGCCACATGTTGGTTGAAATCTAAGGGCTGAGAGGTATTGCTTTAGCACTGCAAAAGCTTGCCTGCCCCTGCCTTCTGCACACTCCTGTTGTACAGTGAAGATACCTGTAATAGCATTGGCAAATAGACGTAGGGGGTGGGAGGTAGTGGCAATGTCTGACACTAGCCAGATTACCCAATACTTGACCCTAACAGCAAAACTTTGAAAGGTACGTTCAGGTAGGTTTTGTAAGTACAGTGTCTTTAAATCCGAGAAAATAAATATTTGTATCTAACTTTTTTTTTTCTTTGTTTACAGAGCAAAAAAAGGCAGAATATACCAGAGATTCCGAGATTGGAGAGAATATTTATCAGAACAGTGGTTATAGGTATCAGGCAGATGATACAGGATTTAATCGAGGGGTTGTTCAATCAAGTGCTGGTCGAGGACCTGGTAAGTTCCCTGCCAAAGCCCTGCATCTTTGAAGAAAAGCTGGGACCCTGCATACAGTTTCGATCTGATTACTTAGGCCCGGTTCACATATATGTGGCTGTACGGGCCACTTTTGTGCGGGCACAAGAGCCCATTCATTTGAATGGACTCCCGTGCCCCCTCACATGCAGAGAAGAAGTCCCTGCACTTCTTCTGAAAACACAGCCCACACGGGAACCTCGGTTCCCAGTACGGTTGCGTCTTCCAGTGCAGGCGGCGTGCCATTAGAATTATTGGCACCCACCCACGGGTCCACATTTTTTTTCTGTGTGTGTGGCGTGGGTGCACGGATTTTCATGCGGATCTGCAACGGCACCACCCGCACAGATGTGAACCTACCTTAGGCCCACTCCTGGGGTTTTTGGCTGGCATATGTCCTGGCATTTGACATTAAATTACAGGCAGTGGGAGCTTAGTACACTACCTAGAACACTGCAATGGATGTGAAGACAAACCCAATCATTTGCAAGTGCCGCACCGTAGATATGTTCTAAATTTAGTGGACATGGCAGGTTTACTTTTAATGACGTGTTTTATAAAGTGATCACTGTATTGTATAGCTTGCTGCAGACATCCTTTTGTTGATCAACCTTTCACCACTATAGATACTACACGCTTATTGGTAATTATATTAACAACTGTCAGCCTGAATGAAAATGGATATAGAAAAAGCTGAAGCATAGTAATGCTTACACAGGCTCACATATGAAGCTTTGCTAGACCAATCCCAAGAACTAGATGAGTAATTAATACTTTTATTAACACCCCCACTGTGTAGGAAATGGTTTTGGGGAGATTATCTCTGGTGGCATGTCTGTCAATGTTACATGTGGCATTTAACTTTTTAAGTTTTTTTTTTTTTTTTTTTTTTTTTTTTTGTCTATAAAAAAAGCTTTGTTTGGCTACCACCTGTTGGATGTTAAAATATGTTTAAATGTAGAGCTTGAAAACTGTGATATTTTAGGTTTCATGTGTCCTTCCTGTCCTGGTTACAGTGATTTATAAGGAAAAATTGAGAGGGGAATCTCCCCAGCAGAGACACAGAATAGGGTAAAAAAAAAAAAAAGTAAGGGTTTTAACACTTCAATTCTATCCAAAACTTACAAAATGTTTTGGCTTTAGTTTTTAAACTCGGAATTTGACAGCACTAATAGAACAGCTGCTGTGACTTTTAAAGTCAGAGAAATTTGTTATTAATTTTATGCTCATCAGCTAATATCTGGTTTTGGAGCCTACACCGTAGTCTTTCGGGCTTGCTCAAAAAGTTTATGCAAAGCACAGTAATGTGTAGTCACGTATATCAACCAGACAAATCTATTATGTTACATATCCAGGAAGCAAATCTCATTGCTGTTATTTGCACAGTTACTCCCTTTTGATTTTCTTTACTCACATAATCTTGTACAAAGTAGTTGTGTAGGGGAGCTTTGTTTCAGATTGACTGAAAAATATTACGGGTTATGTGGCACAGTGCTACAGTAAGGTGCAATAATGTATGGAAAGGAAGAGGTCTATTGCATGAATATGAATTTTTAGCAAAATGTTACATATTTGGTAGCAAGAAGGCTGAAAGTTAATCATTAACGACATCTGCAAACTGATCTGTTTGGTAGGTTTCACTACTGTTCATGTATTCTACAGATAAGAGTGATTCATGAGCAAGTAGACATACAGGAATTGCAAACACAGGAGTAATAGAATGGGAGGTGAATTATAAGCATTCATTGTTTTTCCCTTTTTCCTGAAGTTAAAATAGGACGAAATGATCAGCAGGAAAAGTTAAAAGATTTGTCTCGGGAATGTGCCCAAAGAGCACATAATCTAAAAAGCACAGCCGCACAGCGAAAAATTGTGGATAAATCCCAGAAGAAAGACCTTGCTAGACCAAAAGGTATTAAAACTATATTTCTTGTTGATCACTCTGCCTGTGTACATGAAAACTTTATGAAGCCTTGCTATTACTGTAACTTTTGCACAGCCTCTTTGTGAATGACTTCTTACATGACTTGTATTGTGGTGAAAACACAGCTGTGTAGAGTACTCCGTTTTGATGTGACTCTTGCTTACTAAACTACCTGCTGTTTTTTTGTAGCTGGTTGGTTTACGTTTGTATATTTTGTCTCTTACACAGCAACATCTGGAGGTGTTCCATACCATTCACAGTCATTTTCTGGAACGCAGCTCAAACCTGTATCTTCTATCCCAGTGAACGGCTTCAGACAATATCCAGATCCTCACTTCTTCAGCAGTCAAGGCAAAGGTCCATATAAGCAACAAAGGTCTGACCAGCAGCCACGACAAATACCATCCTCTAATGCAGGACAGACTGTCATACCTGAAACAAAGCAGCTAACTCGAGTGAAGAATGGTACCTCAAATGGCTATGATACAGACAGTAGTCAGGAGTACAAGGAGAAAGGAACTGGTAGAACCAAAAAGACCTGGCGGCCCATGCGAGAGACTCTCAATGTGGACAGTATTTTTAATGATGGTGAGAAAAGCCAGTCCAGTCCACGGCACTTAGCAAACACTAATGGAAAACATCATACTGCTAAGGATCAAAGCCTTAATCACTGCTCAAAGGAGAGCCCTAAGAAAAAGGTTCTGATGACTATTTATGAGGATGAGATAAAACAGGAATCTGGCAGTAGAAGTTCTCTGGAATCAGTAGGAAAAAGTCAGGCTGAAAGGAACAAACCAAACCCAGACTCTAAGCTGTACCATTTTGACAGCTGGCACATGCAAAGAGCAGAGTCTGGCTATGAAAGTAGTGATCACATCAGCAGCGGTTCAAGTAATCTAGATTCTCCTGTAATTGAAGGGACCAGCTTTGCAGATATGAAAGTTATTCAGGAAATGAGCCAGTGCAGGTAAGTTTTTAAATATTAAAACTGAACTTTAGATATGGGACCTCCAATGAACCCATTTATGTGTTCCTTAAATCAACAAAAAAAGTATAAGGTTTTATTCATAATTTCTTTACTTGTAGTTATAACTAAATATTTGTAAAATGTTTGTAACGTAAATATGAAACTGCATATATTTAATTCCCGTTTAGCCGGTAAAGGAATCTTAAAATGTTTTCTCATATATATGTGTATATGTACAAGGCTTTTGTTTACAATTGTAATTTACACACAGAAATGGATTACTCATGAACAGTTTTTTCATCCTTTCTTAAATGCTCCATCTGAGTGATTTTTCCATGTTCATGTGAATTGGCTTAATATAAATAACCTTGGCACTGCATTTTAAAGCAACTGTTTTTTCCCCCGTTTAGGCCAAGTAACAGGTTAGTTGCCTAGGCATGGTAAAGAGCAGATTCTTACCTTGCTTGTATTGTTACACTTCCCCCTTCACATGTTGCCCTTGGCCAGGGCCTGCCCAGAGCCAAGGACCCCTTCTCCCCTGTGTGTTAGCCCTAGGCCTTATGGCTGGTTACTACACCATCAAGGGCAGCATTTTCAGAATGCAGGGGAGAGTCATGGCTGAAAATTGTCAGGACTGTTATCGTTGCATTGTTAGTCTGGCTGAAAAAATACAAAATTCCATCCAGTTCAACCATTTAAAAAAAAAAAGTTATAATCCTATACCCACAGTTGATCCAGAGGAAGGCAAAAAACCCAGCAAAGCATGATCCAATTTGCTCCTGCAGGGAATTAATTCCTTCCTGATCCCCCGAGAAGCAATCGGGTATTCCCTGGATCAACTTTACCTATAAATGTTAGTATCCCGTTATATTCTGTATATCTAAGAAAGAATCCAGGCCTTATTTCAAAGCAATCCACTGAGCTGGTCAGAACCAACTCTTGAGGGAGTCTATTCCATGTTTTCACAGCTCTTTTCGTGTTCAGAGATTAAATTTCTTTTCCTCGAGACGTAAAGAGTGCCCCCTTGTCCTCTGTGATGACCTCAGGTTGAATAGCTCTGCACCGAGTTCACTATATGAACCACTGATGTATTTATACATGTTGATCATATCCCTCCTTAATCTCCTCTTCTCAAGAGAGAATACATTCAGTTCCTCTAATCTTTCCTCATAGCTGAGCTCCTCCATGCCTCTTATCAGTTTGGTTTCCCTTCTCTGTACTTTCTCCAGTTCCCCAGTGTTTTTTTTGTGAATTGGTGCCCAAAACTAAACTGCATATTCCAGATGAGGTCTTACTAATGATTTGTACAGGGGTAGAATGATCTCTCTCACTATCTTTTAACACAAGAGGATTTTGCTCGCTTTAGAAACCGCAGCTTGGCATTAAGCTTGTGATCTACCAGAACTCCTAGATCCTTCTCCACCATTGATTTCCCACAGTTGTACTCCCCCTAGTATGTATGATGCATGCATATTCTTAGCCCCCAAGTGCATAACCTTACATTTATCAACATTAAACCTCATTTTCCACAGTTGCCCAATTAAACAGTGCATTGAGGTCAGTTTGTCAGTTGGAGACATCCTGTAAGGACATTATTCCACTGCACAGCTTGGTGTCATCTGCAAAGACTGAAATGGGATTTTTAATACCAGACCCTATATCGTTTAATAAATATATTAAAAAGTAAGGGTCCCATCACTGAACCCTGGGGTACACCACTGACAACCCTAGACCATTCAGAGTTATCTTGTGCAATTTGGCAAAGTATAGTTTTTTTTTTGTAATTAAAAATCTGGCAGTGTGTATATCTTGTACAGATACATGTACATGAAAACAACCATAATATTCGTTTATTACATATAAAAGTTCTACTTCTTGTGTCTTGCTGATCCTCTTATCTACTTGCAAGGTTAGAAGTTGGTATCTGTCTGAAAAAGAACCTGCAGTCTCTAATCATGAGACATTTACAATCTTCTGTTAGTTAAAGATCTTGGTATTGTTTGCCCAGGCTTAAGGAAATTTCTAAATGGCAGGACCCTTACTTTTTAATTGGCAGGGGAAACATCTTAGAGGACACATGAAATTATTATGTAATTCACTGTTGATTGAACAGAAATAGGCTTTATTGCAAATGTACAGATTTGCTTACAAGTGAATGCCACCCCTCTTGTCCATGTTTCCCTTCCTTCTGCTGCCTGGCACCAAGTGTGCTCCCTTGGTTCCCATGCAGCTCTGCCAACTTCCCCTCCTCTCCTTTCCCACGGCTACTTGTGGGGGATTGTTTCAGGATGGAGAGAGGGGGAAGGGGCTGGTAAATGTAATTTAATCGCCCCTTCCTTTTCTCAATGTACTAATTTCTCAATGTACACAGTGAGTGATTGGTACCAATCACTCACTGTATTAATTCATAACTGCAGGATAGTAAACGGTTTACTTCAGTTTGTGAATGAACAGGAAACTGCTCAAGACAGAGTGCTTCCCATTCATTGACTTTCCAGTACAGCTGAGGTTGCAGAGAAAGGGACTGGGGAATCTCTGTCCTCAGTGTCTTTCTCGGTCTCAAACATGAAACATCAGGGGTCTGTTTAGACCCCCGGTATTTCACGATAACATGTCTCCTAAAAAAAAACTGTAAAAAACAACATTGTAAAAAAATTTAAAGGAATAATAAAAACAGAAAAAAAACTGCTGACGCCGCCCACTGCCCTGCTGGGGCGTCTACACGCCGCCCACTGCCCTGCTGGGGCGTCTACACGCCGCCCACTGCCCTGCGCGTCTACACGCCGCCCACTGCCCTGCTGGGGCGTCTACACGCCGCCCACTGCCCTGCTGGGGCGTCTACACGCCGCCCACTGCCCTGCTGGGGCGTCTACACGCCGCCCACTGCCCTGCTGGGGCGTCTACACGCCGCCCACTGCCCTGCTGGGGCGTCTACACGCCGCCCACTGCCCTGCTGGGGCGTCTACACGCTGCCCACTGCCCTGCTGGGCGTCTACACGCCGCCCACTGCCCTGCTGGGGCGTCTACACTGCCCTGCTGGGGCGGCTACACGCCGCCCCTGCCCTGGGGGCGTCTACACGCCGCCCACTGCCCTGCTGGGGCGTCTACACGCCGCCCACTGCCCTGCTGGGGCGTCTACACGCCGCCCACTGCCCTGCTGGGGCGTCTACACGCCGCCCACTGCCCTGCTGGGCGTCTACACGCCGCCCACTGCCCTGCTGGGGCGTCTACACGCCGCCCACTGCCCTGCTGCTGGGGCGTCTACCGCCGCCCACTGCCCTGCTGGGGCGTCTACACGCTGCCCTGCTGACTAACACTATTCACTCCTAAAGTAGACGCTCAAAATGCTGGTGCCCAAACACTGATTTAGTATGCAGGCAGCAACATTCTAGGCTGTGGTCTAGTGTGAACAGGTCCTGGAGTGAGAATCCATTTATAGATATAGTTCAGTGAGAGCACCAAAACAGTCCTCCCAAGAGATCAGAATTGAGCCCAGGATTTAAAAATAGACCAGACAGTTGAGTTTAGGATTTAAAAATAGATTTAACTGGTAAGAACAGTTGAGCCCTGGACCCTTACTATATAGTTAGGCCTTGCTAGTTAATTTCATTAACACTAAAATTGCCAAAAACAAGAGGTCTTTGATCTTTCATGTGGTTCAGGTATTATTATTATTATACAGGATTTATATAGCGCCAACAGTTTGCGCAGCGCTTTACAAACTGAAGGTAGACATTACAGTTACAATACAAGAGGAAAACCGAGGGCCCTGCTCATTAGACCTTACAATCTAGGAGGAAGGGTTGAGTGATACAAAAGGTAATAGCTGTGGGGGATGAGCTGATGGAGGAAATAAATGGCGGTTTACTATGTAGAAGCAGGATAGGCTTCTTTAAAGAGAGGTTTTCAGGGATCATCTAAAGGTGGATAGTTTAGGAGACAGCCGGACAGATTGGGGTAGGGAGTTCCATAGGATGGGAGAAGGTCTTGAAAGGATTGAAGAGAGCGGTTTGGTTGATATTTTGAGACCAGGTTGGTGATGTAGCTGGGGGCAGAGTTGTGGATGGCTTTGTAAGTTGTTAGTATTTTGAATTTTATTCGTTGGGCGAGTGGAAGCCAGTGGAGGGCTTGGCAGAGAGGGGTAGCACACACTTGACGGTTGGTAAGATGGATGAGCCTGGCAACAGTATTCATGATGGAAAAGGTAAGCCAATGAGGAGGCAGTTGCAGTAGTCAAGGCGAGAGATAACCAGCGAGTGAATTAGGATCTTTGTGGTATCATTGCTTAAAAAAGGGCGTATTCTGGAGATGTTGCATAGGTTGAGGCGGGATGATTTGGACAGAAATTGGATGTGGGCCTGAAAGGATAGTTCAGAATCCAGGGTTACACCTAGCACCCTGGCATGCAGGGATGGGTTGATAGTGGTGCTATTGACCCTGACCGAGAAATCAGGGGAAGAGACACGTGGGGGAGGAAATATTATGAGCTCAGTTTTGGATAGATTGAGTTTTAGGAAGTGGTGTGACATCCAGTCTCATATGTCTGTTAGTAAATCGGTGATACGTGAGGAAACTGATGGGGTGAGTTGAGGAGTAGAGAGATTTGTGTCATCAGCATAGAAATGGTATTGGAAACCATGAGAAGCTATCAGCTGACCCAAGGAAGAAGTGTAGGTCCAGAATAAGGACAGAACCTTGGGGGACCCCGACAGTAAGAGGAGTAGGAGAGGAGGAAGTAGAGTTGTGACACTGAAGGTGCGGTGAGATATAAGTAAGATTCGAACCAACGGAAAGTACAGTCACGGAGACCAAGTAAATAGTTTTTTTTTTTTTTTTTTTTTTTTTTTTGAGGAGGTGGTCAACTATGTCAAAGGCAGTGGAGAGGTCCAAGAGCAAGAGTACAGAATAGTGACCATTGGTCTTAGCAGTTAGTAAGTAGTTTGTTTGTGAGTTTTAGGAGAGCAGATTCTGTGGAGTGTTGTGGGCGAAATCCAGACTGAAGGGGATCAAGGTTATTCTCAATAAGGTGGCAGCTCAGCCGGTTGTAGACTAGAAGTTCAAGGAGTTTGGAGGCAAAAGGGAGTAAGGAGATGGGTCAAAGGTTGCTAAGATTGGTGGGGTCCAGTGAGGATTTTTTAAGTATGGGGGTGACTAGCACATGTTTTAGAGAATTGGGGAAGATGCCAGTAGAAAGGGAGAGATTTAAGATATGAGTTAAAGAATGAAGGATAGAGCCAGAGGGTGACAGTAGTATTTGCAAGAGAACAGGGTCCAGGGGGGCAGGTTGTTAGGTGGGCTTTAGAAAACCGTTTACCAGCCTCCTCTAAAGTAGCTGGGTTAAAGGGAAGTATAGATTGTGCAAGTGGAAGTGGATAAGGAGTGTAGGGTGAGGGAGATATCTGTACAGTGAAGATCTCGTCACGAATTGTATCAATCTTATTTTTGAAGTGATTAGCGATCTCCTGGGCAGTGAGTTAGTGTGGGTAGAGGTAAAGAAGTAGAGAGTTAAAGGTAGAAAAGAGTTGATGGGGATTGCGTGAGAGGGTGTTAATGAGAGTGATAAAATAGGTCTGTTTGGTAGTGTGGAGACAAGAATTGTATTTTTTGAAGGGCAGATTTAGATTGGTCGAAGTCTTTCTGGGTCTTCGTCTTACTCCATAAACGCTCCAGAACACGGCTACGTTTTTTGAGGCATCTGGTATTGTCTGTTTGCCACGGCTGTAGTGGTCAGGGCCTGATTCTGTGTGTAGTGAGGGGGGCCAATGTGTCCAGGGTGGATGACAGTTGAACTATTGTAGATAGAAGTGGCCAGGTTGGGGCAGGCAGGGCTGATTTTTTTGTCATAGAGACAATCTGTTGCCGAAAAAAGAAGAGAAGGGTTAAGATAACGAAGGTTTCTACGAGTAACGGTTTGGTAGTTGGAAGCCAAGGAGAGAGTGAAGCTAATAAAGGGAGTGATCAGAGAGAGGAAAAAGAAAGTTGGTGAGGTTGCAAGGAGTGCATAGGTAGGAGAATACAAGGTCGAGGCCGTTACCATTGGTGTGAGTAGAAGCATGTGTCCATTGTTTTAGATCAAAAGAAGTGGTTAGGCTCAGAAGTTTAGAAGTAGCAGGAGTGTTAAGATTAACAGAGATGTTGAAGTCACCGGGAATGATAGTGGGAATTTCAGAAGAGGGAAAGTAAGGCTGTCAGGCAGAGAAGTCATCAGGGAATCTTGATACCAGTCCCGGAGGCCGATAGATCACAGCAATTCTTAACCACTAGCTTACAGGGCACCTATACCCCTTCCTGCCCAGGCACATTTCCAGCTTTCAGCGCTGTCGCACTTTGACAATTGCGCGGTCATGCAACACTGTACCCATATGAAATTTTTATCATTTGTGACAGAGCTTTATTTTGGTGGTATTTAAGCACCTCTGGGTTTTTTATTTTTTCTTAAACCAAAAACCACAGAAAATTTTGAAAAAAAAAAAAATTTCTTAGTTTTTGATATAAAATTTTGTAAATAAGTGATTTTTTTCTCCTTCACTGATGTGCGCTAATGAGGCTGCAGTGATGGGCACTGTTAGGCGGCACTGATGGGCAGCACTGATAGGCGGCACTGACTGGCACTGATGGGTGACACTGAAAGGCAGCTCAGATGGGCACTGATATGTGGCATTAATGTGGTACTGATGGGCACTGGCAGGTGGCATGGATGAGCACTGACAGGTGGCACTGCTGGGGCTACACAGATTATCAGGGCACACTGATCATCATGTTCAGTGCACATGTCCCCTCTGAGGGATGCCGATTACCGGCTCTGTTCTCCTCTCAAGCTTTCAGCGTGACCGCTCATGAGGAAAGAAATGCCGATAACCGGCATTTCCCTATTTACATGCGTTCAGCTGTGATTGGACACAGCTGATCACATGACCGAGCCGACATCTTCGGCACTTTCCGTTGAAAGGTGATCCACTGTGTCCAAGGGACACAGCGCACAACCAATTTCTGCACTGTGCACTCCCGGAGCTGTGCATGCGCAGTTAGAATGGGACAACGTCATATGACGTCCTCCCAGAACAAGAGAACCACCTTGCCCCCGTCATTTCACTATATGGCGTGTGGGAGACGGTTAAAGAAACTGGAGAGAACAAACGAATACAGTGAACTTCAAATGAGGAGAAGGAGGTGAATGGGGATAGGAAGATTCCAACGCCATCTCCTTTTGTCCACTAGGCCTGAGAGAGTGAGTCCAGAGGAGAACACCATGGGAGAGGGAAGACAGGATCTCCACCTGTCAAAGGTTGCCTACCTCTGCACTAAACAGTGGGTGCAATTTCTAATAGTTCAGGATGCTTCAGCAACCATAAAGTATGCAGCCTGCCACTGTGACTTAGTCTCTACAGTCAGTTTCATCATCCTGTTGACTATGCAGCATTGGTCTCAAGCAAATTGTATAAAACCAAACTTTCAACACGAAGTGTTTCATTTCAGACAAACCTTCTTTTTTTTTTTTTTTTTTTTTTTGTTCTTTAAAAACAATTCCAAAAGGTCTATAAAGGTCTAATGAGCTCTTTGTTCAACCAATAAAAATGTAGAATTAATATTTTTTTTTCTTTGTAAAGTGACTGCAATATGTAACTTTTTCCCCTTGAGTTCCATTCAGGTCTATAGTATGTAGTATGAATCCGATCTCTTGAAATGTTGTAATAATATGGCTGATTAGTTGACATGTGCTACCACCCAAAAGTGATCATATATATCACATTTTTAAGCAGCCATGGGACTGTTCTTATGCCTTAAAACCGAGTTCCACTCACCCTGTCAAAAAATAGAAGCAGCTACAAAAACTGTAGCTGCTGACTTTTAAAAAAACAGTCACTTACCTGTCCCTCGATCCTGTGGTGTGTCCCCCTCAGCCCGTTTCACCGGGCGTCCTATATTCCAGGAGGCCAGCATCTTCAGTGTGGGAACCTGTCTGTGACAGCTTGCAGCTTCACAGTCGGGTACCCACTGTGCATGCGCAAGTAGCGCTGCGCTTCCTGAATGGTCCTGTAGTCTTCTGGGACCTGTCATGTGTCCGAAAAGACTACAGGGAGGGAGGACACCTTCCGCTTCCATTCACCTAGGCCAGTGGTTCTCAACCTTTCTAGCGCCGCGACCCCTTAATACAGTTCCTCATGTTGTGGTGACCCCCAACCATAAAATTATTTTCGTTGCTACTTCATAACTGTAATTTTGCAGTAGGAGGAATAGTGCCATGTCATTGGTGTCAGTGGGAGGAATAGTGCCCCGTCATTGGTGTCAGTGGGAGGAATAGTGCCCCTTTCATTGGTGTCAGTGGGAGGAATAGTGCCCCTTTCATTGGTGTCAGTGGGAGGAATAGTGCCCCTTTCCCTTTCATTGGTGTCAGTGGGAGGAATAGTGCCCTGTCATTGGTGTCAGTGGGAGGAATAGTGCCCCGTCATTGGTGTCAGTGGGAGGAATAGTGCCCCGTCATTGGAATCAGTGGGAGGAATAGTGCCCCATCATTGGTGTCAGTGGGAGGAATAGTGCCCCATCATAGGTGTCAGTGGGAGGAATAGTGCCCTCATCATCGGTATCAGTGGGAGGAATAGTGTCCCATCATCGGTATCAGTGGGAGGAATAGTGCCCCATCATTAGGTGTCAGTGGGGAGGAATAGTGCCCCATCATTGGTGTCAGTGGGGGAATAGTGCCCCATCATGGTGTCAGTGGGAGGAATAGTGCCTCATCATTGGTATCAGTGGGAGGAATAGTGCCCCATCATTGGTATCAGTGGGAGGAATAGTGCCCCCATTGGTATCAGTGGGAGGAATAGTGCCCCGTCATTGGTATCAGTGGGAGGAATAGTGCCCCGTCATTGGTATCAGTGGGAGGAGGAATAGTGCCCCGTCATTGGTATCAGTGGGAGGAGGAATAGTGCCCCGTCATTGGTATCAGTGGGGGGAATAGTGCTCCATCATCGGTGTCAGTGGGAGGAATAGTGCCTCATCATTCGGTATCAGTGGGGGAGGAATAGTGCCCCATCATTGGTATCAGTGGGAGGAATAGTGCCCCATCATTGTGTCAGTGGGGGAATAGTGCCCCATCATTGGTGTCAGTGGGGGGGGAGGAATAGTGCCCCATCCATTGGTGTCAGTGGGGGGGGAATAGTGCCCCATCATAGGTGTCAGTGGGGGGGGGAATAGTGCCCCATCCTTGGTGTCAGTGGGGGGAGGAATAGTGCCCCATCCTTAGGTGTCAGTGGGGGGAGGAATAGTGCCCCATCCTTGGTGTCAGTGGGGGGAGGAATAGTGCCCCATCCTTGTCAGTGGGGGGAGGAATAGTGCCCCATCCTTGGTGTCAGTGGGGGGAGGAATAGTGCCCCATCCTTGGTGTCAGTGGGGGGAGGAATTGTGCCCCATCGTTGGTGTCAGTGGGGGGGAGGAATTGTGCCCCATCGTTGGTGTCATTTGGGGGAGGAATAGTGCCCCATCGTTGGTGTCATTTGGGGGAGGAATAGTGCCCCATCGTTGGTGTCATTTGCGGGAGGAATAGTGCCCCATCGTTGGTGTCAGTGGGAGGAATAGTGTCCCATCGTTGGTGTCAGTGGGAGGAATAGTGCCCCATCATTGGTATTAGTGACACCAATGATGGGGCACTATTCCCACTGACACCAATGATACTTACCTTGCAGACCCCTGCTCCAGCCTGGGCTCGCTCGCTCCCTCCCTCTCCCATGGTACCGACACTTACCTGTCAGATGTCTTCCTTCTCCGGCCGCTCTCCTCCTCTTCACTCGCGCGATCTTCGCGGTGCCGCTCGGCTCCTCCTCTCCAAGCTCCACCTCCTTGCCGGTGATTGGCCGCCTGTGTGCCTCTCCTGAGCTACAGTGCCGGCGGCCAATCACAGGCGAGGATTGATCTCGAGGTGTGTCCAGATGACAGGGGCGGCATGTCATCCCGCCCACACCTGGAGACGGCGGTGGCGGCGAGGAGTGGTGTCTCGGTTCCCAAGACCATCGGAAATATGTGTTTTCCGATGGTCTTAGGCGACCCCTGTGGAAGCGTCGTTCGACCCCCAAAGGGGTCGCGACCCCCAGGTTGAGAACCGCTGACCTAGGCGATCAGACATGGGAGCGGGTACCTGTCAAATTCGGTTGCCCGCTCCGCCCGCCCTCCAAAGGTGCCAATCCTTAATTTGGAGCAGTCCTTAAAGCAGAGCTTTCCATTTTGGGTGGAGCTCCGCTTTAAAACTAGACTGGAGATTGACAAAGAGAACAACAAATTCAATTTAAATGCAGTGTGACATAGCTTTTACATGTTTTAAAGGCAATGTTAACCTTTTATAACATGTTCCGCAAGCCCCCCGCAGAGCCCCCCATTGTGACAGCGGGCCAGGGATCTTCTCCCCGCATCTGCTGTCACAATTTAAGAAAAAACAAAACACGTTTGCGTAGGGTTCTGCCCACCCCGCCATGTCATTTATTTACAGAGTTCTGTGAATGGGATAACTATAACTACCTTCAGCCATTGCAGTTGACGGCTTTTAGTTCCTAAGGAACTACCAGGGCACTGATGAGCAGGTAGGTAGTCCATTGATTTTTTTCCTGTCATTCAATAACTGCTTGCCTGTATGAGCAGATAGCTACACTGACAGTCTGCAGGAGCCTTGCATTGCATTCTCGATCAACAGATGCTTTTCAGGCTACTAACAACATAAATGCAATTTTTTACCTTCAAAAAGATGGTTAACTTATTCTTTAGTTTCTTTAGAGTACACCACTTGGGAAGGAAACTAGTTTAGAGAAGTTTAGTAAGTCTGACAAAGTGCTGCTTTCTTTGTGTTCCACACACAAAATGCACATAGACATTGCACATAATGCAGTTTCATTGAGTAACCGTTCTAATTCACAAAATGACCAGAAGTGTTTTAGGTTTTCACAATCAGAATAATTGATTATTTCCTAGATTGCAAAAATTGCATAGTCACAATATAGTGGTTATTACAGGAATACCTCGGTTTACAAACTCCTCGGTTAATGTAATTTTCGGTTTACAAATGAAAAGAATGCCTTGGTTTACAAATTTTTTGCGAAATTTTTTTTTGCAATACGAAGTGCATGTCTGTGCCGATTTTTAAATGCAATTGCCAGCTTTTTTTTTTTTCGCTATAGCTCACAGAATTAGCTGTCACTTTCCCTGGAGGTAACAGAAACTTTGTTTCATTTAAGAAACTAAAAGGAAACATTATTTCTCTTAACTCCAGGTAATAAACTAAAAGAAAACTTTCTTTCTTTTAGCTGGGGGGAAAGTGACAGCTGAATTTCTGAGCTATAGTGAAGAAAAAAAAAAAACCATTTAAAAAAAACCGGCACTATAATAAATTAAAAAAAAAAAACAAAAAAAAACAGCGTGGGGTCCCCTCTCCCATCCATACCAAGCCCTTCAGGTCTGCTATGAATTTTGAGGGGAACTCCCAAAATCCTCCCTAAAATACCGCATGACTTAATAAAATAACTCATGCGTTATTTTAGTAGCGTTTACCTTTTTTCTGACCTTCAGAACAGATTAATTGGTTTTCAATGCATTCCTATGGGAAACGGCGTTTACAAATTTTTCGCCATATGAAAAGTCCTGCAGAACAAATTAAAATTGTAAACCGAGATATTACTGTACTTTGATATCATAGAAAATGCTCTTAGGGGTCATGCAAACCTTATAGCATACTATAGTGTAAGTTTATAAAACGGAGATAAGATGCACTAGTGACTGTCATGGCTTATCTCCACTGTTCAGCAGTTTATGAAGATGTGATGTGGAGATGAAAATGATGATCTCTGCCTCTCATTGTAGCACAGGGAGAAGCGGCCAGTGACTCCAATACCAATGGCTAGTTTGGTAAGATGTGATGAAAGCACCTGACTGGCCGTTTGTGCAATTTATCTCCCCTGCTTCTCCAGAAGTGATAACAAGGAGAGGAGAGAAACAGCTGAGATGTAATGACAAAGTAAAGGAATTATAATCCTTTGCTCTGTCACTGCTTAGCAACCCCAGTAAAATAAATGTACATATTCAGGACCAACCTGAAAAATCACCATGCCCATGGCATCTAAATGTTAGGGAAGGGACCTTTTTTAACCCCTAAAAAAAACAAAACAGACCTACCTTAATGTTTGGGGGATTGTGTTCCTTTATATTCCTTGTCTAGTGTAGGCATATCCCTACATTAGATCCCTAGTATAATATCAGCCCACGTGATTTGCAGTAAAAATAACACGTTTAATACAAAGCATATGTGAGAGTTACAAGTTGTAAATTGTGTTTTTATTCCTATTAAGACATTTCTGTGACACTTGTACTAGAGTGTATTTATGACTATACAAATACACTTGGTTACATGTTTCACACATTTTTTTTTTTTTGCCTATTTTTTTTTTCTATTTTTAAAGTTCATCGAGAAGTATTTGAGCCCCTGATCTATCATGGGCACAAATCTCACTTGTCCTCGCACTACACGTTGTGGCCAATAATAGTGTATTATATTCATTTATCTTCTCCAACAAAAATAATGAAGCGGCTCTGAGAGCTGTATATGCAATGAGGAGCTGAGATGTGTAAACGATTTTATATTTATATATGTATATGTATATGTATGTATATATATATATATATATGTGTGTGTGTATATATATATATATAATTTGTTAATGTATGTTTGTTAGTACAGTTCAAATAAACATACTCGGACTGCTTGATGTTGTTAATAAGCAACATGCATTCTAAAATACTGAAGAATATATATATATATATATATATTTTTTTTTTTTTGTTTCGAAGTGACCAACATCCAGCACATGGGTACCTTTCTACCTCTCCACACCGTAGAAGTCCATTGCACGGTAAGCTGCTTTGTTTTTTTAATAATTTGTTTTGTTGAACTGTGCCATTCCTCTATTTCTTGTAAGTGGAAGTTGAGCAGCTCAGTGTGTTTATATTTGTTTTGAAGAGAGAGCGTGTCTGTATGTAATTTTAGGAAGTGGACTTATTTCTTCTATTTCTATAGAGTATTAGAATTAAAAAAAACAAACCAAAAAGTAATAAAATTGCTTCATTGCCCTTAATAACACTGCAGTGAATGTACAGGTCTGAACATGAACATCTGCCATATTTAGTTTTTGTGAAGAGCCTTGGGCCAAGGTTCTCAATCGAATCACTAGCTAGTTTTAGCCATGCATGGCTTTCTGTGTCAGCAGAAGAGAAAAATAACGCTTCTATTTTTAAATGGGCTGGAATCCTGAAGACAAACCCTTCTGGTGTTGGTGAATGTTACTCCCTGGGAAGCATGCCTTTCACATGATCAAGTGTGTAAAATGGTTCACTGCTGCCATCTGTTGTGATGTCTTTATAATTGCATCTAAGACTCTCCATGGGATAATGTGATTCATTTTTTTGTTTTAAGTGGGCTTTATATGGAGCTTGCATTTGCCATTTATGCTCTTGAAAAAAATTTCGACGCTCCTGAGGCTTATATTTGAGACTGTATATGAACCAGCCACCTTCTTACTGCAACTTAATTTCCAAAATTTCATAGACTAGGCAGATGCAGGTAACATTTTATAAAAAGATATATGTTTGGAAAGTATTATGTGAACTATATGTAAGAGTATCTAAAGTAATCAATATGCTTTCTTTTCAAGGTTTCAGCAAAGAATGTAATGGTTTGGAACGTAGTAGGTATGAAGATAGGTTGTCTCCAGGTCCTCGAGAGCCATCGCTTAGCCCCTCTGGCCGAAGGTATTTTACAAGGAGAAAAAAAAAACTGTCAGAACTAGATTTGGATGTAGTTCTAAATGTAAATGTTTAGTGGAATCTGATAATGGCACCCTCCTTAGGGTTTGGTGCAGAGTGCCATACTCCTTTCAAGTTGCAGGATTGTGAAGCTAAAGAGAAAATTTCAAGAGAAAAATGATAGAGTAATAGAATATGAACCCCTTTTTATATTCCATTGATTGTGTGTTGTCATAAAATTGGTTTGTTTAGGTGTAGTTCACAAGCACTTTAAAAGGGGATACTTTTTTGGCTTCTAATATGTATGTATAAATAATATAGCCTTTAGTTCCACCTCAATCAACAATAGTTGTATTATTTTTTTTTTTTCGTTAAAGGAAACATACTGGTGATGTAAAACGAGATGTTCGTTCACCAACGCTTTCAGCTCGAGGTTCAAAAGAGTACAGTGTTAAAGAGACACCTGTGAACAAACAGGAAAATTCGAGGGATTGTTCTCTTCGTCTGACCTCATCTTCAGAAAATTGTTGCTTGTACCGTGACTATTCACCAGTGTCACCAGTGTCACAGCACAATGGGCTAACCAATGCTCTGCTGATCCATGCACCTGTCAGTCCTTCACAGCCCATCCCAAAGGGCAACCGAATACAGTATATGAATGGGCCTTTCTTTGCATCTAATGAAAACCTCTCATGTCACAGAGATGACGGTAGCTGCACAGAAAATCAGGACTTTAACAGCTTACCGCCTCCTTTGCCCCCAAAGAAATACTCTCGGAGTGCAGTTTCACGATTTGAGCAAAATTTTGCACCTGCCACCACTACTGCCCTTTCAGAAACCTTGTCATATGTTCATTCAGCTAGCACTGAGAGACTTTCATCTGGTGATTTTGGGAGGCCCGACTCTGATATAGACTACTATCCAGCAAAAGATACATTTCACAGGAGCGACCTAGACATGCACACACCACACTTGTCTGGTTCCTCAACGTACGACTATCGGTCAAAGATGGTTCAGCAGCCTTTGGGATTAGATCAGGTTTCCCATGGTAATGATACAGTTTCACTCACAACATACTTTTCTGTGGACAACTGTATGACTGACACATACAGGCTAAAATACCACCAGAAGCCAAAGGTATATATGACTGAAAGTACTGCATTCCACCGAGACCCTGGTCACTTACAAGTTACAGAATCTTTCATGGAACCTTCCTACCCTAGAACCTTGGATAATGGTCATAACACAATATTACGAACAAAAATGTCATATGGAAGTGTACCTTGTAATAGATAGACATTTAGGCCTTGCGTTTTTGAAATGGTGAAACACTCCAGGTGGAGTGTTCTAAATGGTCAGCTTGGATAATATCCAGGACAGAGCCAGCTCAGCTCAGCTCTGGGGAGCAGTACACTTGCTTTAAACAAACATTTTGATGCTAGAATGAAGTCAAGTCAGATGAGGTTTTAACTGCT